AAATTTGACACACACAGATGATATTGATATAAAGGGTGTCCCAAAATTAACGCAAGATTTGAATTTGCCGCCATTTGTGCAGTGAAGTGTTGGCAACCCTGAAAAAAAGCAATTTGACAGCTAACAGTATAGGGTTATGAAAAATGGAGCGTTACACGATAGAACAACGTGTCTTCATTATTAAAGAATATTTCAAAAATAGTGAAAGCTTGGCGGCTGCAGTTTGAAAATTTCATACAAAATATGGCCGGAATAGTGTTTTAACTTCGTCAACTGTGAAGAGATTAATTGAAAAATTCATGGAGACTGGATCCGTTGGAGACGCCAAACACACTGGTCGTCCAAAAACAAGCCGTTCAAATGTGAATATCGAAGCAGTGCGTGAGAGTGTTGCGGACAATCCAGGAACCTCAATTCGACGTCGTGGACAAGAATTGCAAATGTCAAGAACCTCTCTACAGCGTATACTCACCAAAGATCTGTGTCTTCATGCTTACAAACTTAACAATTGAAGCTTAATGACCATGCAGAGAGAAGAGAGTTTGTTGAATGGATTATTGAACATCAACAAATGGACCCTGATTTTTCAAGCAAAATCATCCTAAGCGATGAAGCACATTTTCATCTTGATGGCTTTGTCAATTGCCAAAATTGCCGCATTTGGGGTTCGGAGAACCCACGTGTGATTGTCGAAAAAGAAATGCACCCACAACGCGTGACTGTCTGGTGTGGATTTTGGGCTGGAGGCATAATTGGGCCATATTTTTTTGAAAATGATGCTGGTCAAGCAGTGACTGTTACTGGTGCTCGATATCGCGACATGATTACACAGTTCTTTCTGCCAAAATTGAATGATATTGATGTACCCAATATGTGGTTTCAACAAGACGGTGCCACATGTCATACAGCCCGTGAAACAATTCAATTACTGCATGAGACATTTCCCGGTCGTGTACTCTCTCGTTTCGGTGATCAAAATTGGCCTCCTAGATCGTGTGATTTAACACCATTAGACTTTATGGGGTTATTTGAAATCACAAGTCTATGTCAACAAGCCCACAACCACCCGTGCATTAAAGGAGGAGATTCAACGCTGCATCAACGAAATTCAGCCACATTTATGCAGAAGGGTCATGGAAAATTTCGACAAAAGAGTGCGCATGTGCATGCAAAGCCGTGGAGGCCATTTGTCCGATGTGTTATTCCATACATAACCCTATCCTATGTACTTTATGAGTCAATAAAAATATAACTATTAAAAGACTAAAAATGGCATTTTCTATTTAATTCAAATCTTGCGTTAATTTTGGGACACCCTTTAGAAGACAAGCACAATATTCTACAGAATTTGAGTAGAGGTGGCTTAAAATTCCCAAAGGATCCAGTTATTAATATTGTCATGCTAAGTTATATAATAAAATTTTGGCAAGTGACGAGGAATCATTTTTAGAAATCACTGATAAGAGACGTGCTCTTTCTCAGTAGATAATTAACAATCTGAGTGATAATAATCACTTCATTTTCGCGTTGCACAGTCCATTCACCAGATAATGTTATAAAACTAATTGTTATTTGCACAGTCAATACATTTTTGAAAAAATATTGTGCCAAAAGGAACGACATCTTTGCAAGCGCGAATAAAGCAAATAAACGTAAATTGACTACATTCACATGAGGCCGCAACATTTACATAGCTGTAGATAAATGGTTATTTGTACATATTCAGAATTTAGCACTTTAATTTTCGTTATTCCAATTTTTGTTATTTTTGATAGTACTTGTTTTCTGTTTTCTAATTTTTGTTATTATTTTGTGCTGTTATTTGTTTGTTCTAAGAGTTGTTATCAAGTTTTCGTTAATCTTTGTTATGTTTTTTCTGTTGTTTATTTTACTTTGATTTTATCTGTTTTTCTTATCATTTATCCTACACTTTTTCCTCCGCATCTTCCTTATTCCTTTCCTGGCAAGAGCTTACCTCAGACCTCCTCGTTGGTTCTTTCTGGACATAACTGTTCTACAAGCACTACATTTTTTATATAATTTTCAAGTACCACTATATTATGCCTATAATGATAGTAAATTGTCCACATATTTCTGTGCAATTTTGTTGATCGGTTATTCGTTGAAGAATCTATCATTTTTAGCAAGCTTTTATAACATCAACTTATCAATCTAATGTGCACGTAATGCTGGATGAAATATCAGTGAAAATCAGGGTGAAAATAGTTAATAACTACTTTAATATTTTCCACCAAGTTGCCTTCATATACCAAAAACACTTTTCTGAATTATCTGTTATTTACATCAGGTAGAGTATATTAAATATGCTGTAATAATATATTATTCACTAGCGCTGATGTACGGCACGCCGTGATGTCGGCCGGCCGACCGGCCTACTCGTGGTGACGTCACACGTCTGTTGTCAGGCCGAACGCGTCGATCAAGGCCTCTCCCCACTTCCTCGCGTATACGGTTGGCGCGTAATTCAAATTTGAAATGTGAACTTTCCCACTGTACAGCCTACTTTATACTGTATTTACGTACGTCTTGCGCAGTTTGAATGAAATTCACCGGTTAATTTGTGAGATAATCACATAACAATTACATGGGCTTTGAAGTGAAACAATATTTTCACATGTATCCACCATAAACAATTTCATATTAATTTAAAAAAACGTTCATATAAAACTTCAATGACATTGAAATAATGTCTCAGAATTTGAAAAAATTCACCGTCTCGAGATATCTGACTAAAAATGTTTATTTGTTTCCCCATATCACTCCATTTTGCATAGGAAAACAAATGTAAGAATGTTTAAATGGATCGTAGGAGGTTTTGGTAGTGTTACAGCTCTTGTTTCAACAGCCGGCCTTTCCTGCAGGAAGATTTATGTTCTAGTAAATCCGTTCTGTCGATAGAGTATATCGGGCTCTTTGATGACAGTGTTCGTATTGAAATTCTAAGAAGCATATTCATTTGAATAATAATATAATAAAATAATAATAAACAGATTTCGTAAGCATGTGAAACAGATTTATTTGTCATTGTAGTAATTGTGGAAAAGTTAGTTTTTAATTCTTACATTTTATTTTATTTTACGTAATATATGTGTGTGTATATATGTATGCTAGGAAGCTATCAAGCTCGTTGTTTTGAAGCGTCTTTTGCTTGTCAAAGTTTCCTTTGATTGAGTCTTTCAGTTTAGTATTTGGGTAGGTTAAGTAGAGTAGCCAAGAGCTAGACTTCGCCTACGTAGAGGTCACATTATGTTGTAGTGTATATAATGTGCCTAATAAAGACATTTTATTATTATTATTATTATTTGCTAGAAAAGCGATGCTTTATACAGCGTTTTTCTTTAATGTCCCCCTTCCCTTTGTATCTAGCACTAAAACCGAAAACTAAATAAGAGTATTTTAACTGTACAATGATGTTTGTTTCCGTAATGATATTCTTGTCACTGTCAACAAAAAATAACAAAACAAGTTTTTATCGCTGTTGCTGTGGATACGGCAGGGAATTATAATTATTTGTAGAGATATGCATGTTAGTGGGTTTATGTTCAAGTAATTATTAAATGTACCACCATTTTGTAGTAAAAAATGAAAGGGCAGGGGGGCATTAAAGAAAAGCACTATATATACAAGCTATTGAAGTTTATTGTTACTGACTGTGATGCTTTGTATATATGGGGTTGTCCAAAACGGACGCAGGAAAGTAAACGCATATTAAAACAAGAAAGATTGATATTCAAATCAAGTTGGGTACTTTATTTTGAAGGTTCATTTATACCATTTATGTATGAAAAATAATATCGCTCAAACCTCAACCACGACTGGATTTACAGACGTCCACGCGATGGTCGAAATTTTAATGACATTTTGCAACATGGTCGGTTCTATGGCATTGATCTCGGCAATGATATTGTTTTTGAGTTCTTGGAGGGTGGCTAGTTTGTTGACGTAGACTTTGCTTTTCAAATATTCCCATAAAAAGAAGTCCAAGGGAGTCAAATCGCACGATCTTGGTGGCCATGGCACATTTCCTCTGCGCGAAATCACGCGATCACCGAAGAAGGACTGCAATCGATGGATATTGACGTTGGTTGTGTGGCATGTTGCACCGTCTTGTTGAAAATAAAGATCGTCCATATCCACTCCTTCAAGTTGCGGCAAAAATAGTCCTCTATCATCACGTGATATCGCTCAAAATTGACGGTAACGGCGTCCCCGGCCGCATTTTCGAAAAAGTAAGGTCCGATGGTGCCTTTTGACCACAATGCACACCACACAGTCACTTTTTGAGGATGCATCGGCTGCTCTTGATCCTCACGGGGATTTTCGTTCGCCCAGATGCGGCAGTTTTGCTTGTTTACCGTCCCATTCAAAGTGAAATGCGCTTCGTCGCTGAACATGATTTTTGATGAAAAATTGGCATCAATTTGGCGGTGTTCAAGGAGCCAATCTGAGAACGTTCGGCGCGAAAAATGGTCGGCCCGACGCAGCTCTTGCGTCAATTGGATCTTGTAGGCGTGTACATTCAAATCCTTGTGGAGAATGCGGAGCAAACTGGTTCTCGAAATGCCCAATTCTTGGGATCGACGCGTTGTTGATTGTTTCGGATCGTCTCTCACACTCTCCTTCACAACAGCAATATTTTCCGGTGTGCGAACGCTCCTTGGCCGGCCAGAGCCTGGCAGATTTGCCACAGAACCTGTTGCCTCGAATTTACGCACCAGACGACCGATCGTTGTTTCGTTTGGGCGGTTGTTGCGACTGAAGTGTTCACGAAGCGCGCGAAACGTGTTTTTTATTTTTGCACCATTTTTGTAGTGCTCTTGAATAACTTTAATGCGGTCTTCAATCGAATACGACTCCATAGCGATCAATGGTAAACATTCAACTAACAAAATGACATGTCGGTGACAGAAAAATTGACGTTTACTTTCATGCGTCCCTATTGGACAACCCTTTATAAGTCATTGACTATTGTTACTCACCTCATTGAGACAGGCAGCGAGACAAGCCTCCTTGGTAGAGGTATAAATAAGAGCGTTGTCCAACCCCCTGATCATCTTGTTTGGTACCCTTTCGAAAGCCCACGGTCTCAGACAGATGTTGTCTGACCGCAGCTGCAGCTTGGTCATGTAGTACATGTTGACTGAGCGTTGTGGTGCAGCTGATGGGTTGTTGGAGGAGGTTTCATTCTGGAGCTGACACACTGTCTCCTGAAATGTGAAAATCATACTTGTATCTAAGAGACTAGAAAGCATCATACTGAGAAGTTTTTAAGAAGTAGCTTTATAACCGAGTCAAAATAATAATAATAATGTCACCACAAGAATAAAACCTGTACGTCGCTTTATACCAGGAAGAAACCTGAGAAGACTCAACGATAATAATAATAATCATCTTTATTATACAGGGTGGCGTATCGAAAACGAAACAGACTGGCAGCTTAGTTTTTTTTTGGAAAAACGCTCAGACCCGTCGATTTTGTTTTCGAGGGGGAGACAAGTTTGGCAAAAAATCACGTTAACACGTGCAGCCCCCTGGGCGGGGGTGACACCAACCCTAAAATCTTCAAGGGAAAGGAAGGTCGAGTGATAGCTTATTTTAAAGGTTTTTCAATTGCCTATATAATGATGTAAAATACATGAGCTTCAGTTCAGTAGTTTTGAAGATTTATTAATTTAAAGCTTAAAGTAGACTTTAATAGGTACATCAGATTAGTTTGTACTATTTTCAGAAGAAATTTAACTAATAGAATTTACTTAATAGGTAAATGCTTTTCTTTACTATACCCATGGTTTGTTTATCATTTTGTTGTTGAAAATAACTATTGAAGCGTTTTTTTGTGGCAAAAAAGTAATTTCTTGAAGAAAGATAAGGAAATATCTCGTACTTATTTTAAATAGGAATTTAGTACATAGTTTGCGATTGATTTGACCAAACTTTGTTGCTAAAATAAATTGTAACGCTTTATTACATAAATTAACCATGGTATATTCCATAGCAGAAAGAGTTGACATCATCGACATATTTTTTGGAAATAATCAGTGCGCTAATAGAACTGCAGAAATATTTAATTAGCGACATGAGAACAGTAACGTGCATCGAAAATATGTTCTAGAACTTGTAGCTAAATTTCGGGAAACTGGGTCAGTCGCCAATAAAAAATGCAACATTGAAAATCCCATAAGGAGCGAAGCAATAGAAGTGGGGGTTTTAGGGCAAGTTTATGTAGATCCTACGTTAGGTACCCGCAAATTGGAGACTGTGTGTAGTGTTAGTCGTCGTACTGTCCAACGGATTCTAAAGGCCCATAGTTTTCATCCGTTTAAAATTCATCTGGTACAAGAACTTAATGAAGACAATTTTGATCGGCGATTACAATTTTGTGAAGATATGAGTGAACGAATTATAAACGATGAACATTTTCTATTCAACACTTGCTTTTGCGACGAATGTTCCTTTATCTTAAATTGCGTAGTAAATCGTCATAACTGCCGATATTGGTCCGAATCTAATCCCAGAATTTATCATGAGGTTCATACACAGCAGCCACAAAAATTAAATGTTTGTGCTGGTATTTTTGGCGATCATTTAGTTGGTCCTTTTTTCTTACCTGGAAATTTGACCGGTGAAATGCATTTGGAATTACTGGAAGACGCCATAGACAGCCACATTATCAGCCATAATTGAAAATCAGAATGATCGGCGGTACATTGCGAATAGGTTGATGTTCCAAAAGGATGGTGCCTCACCACATTACGCATTACGTGTTCGACAATATTTATATCAGACGTTTCCGGATCGATGGATTGGTAGAAGTTCTATTTAAGCTTTAAATCAATAAATCTTCAAAACTACTGAACTGAAGTACATTAATTTTATATCATTATAAAGGGAATTGAAAGACCTTTAAAATAAGGTATCACTCGATCCCCCTTTCCGTTTAAGAGTTTGGGGGTGGTGTCACCCCCGCTTAGGGGGCCGCACGTGTTAACGTGATTTTTTGCCTGACTTGTGTCCCCCTCGAAAACAAAATCGACGGGTCTGAGCGTTTTTCAAAAAAAAAAACTGAGCTGGCAGTAAATGCGTCTGTTTCGTTTTCGATGCGTCACACTGTATATTATATATTACAATGAACTACACAAGGCAAGATCTGGCTCCAAACTAACCTTCAGTAGCCATTGTAGGCCGCTTAGATTTACCCTATATTCGTAATTTTTCAACTTTCAAAGGGAGTGCATTGAATTGAAAAACTGATACGTAAAGCTTCTATAAAAAAGACTTGTTGAGCGGGAAGGCATAGCCACAGATAAGTAATCTCTTATAACTAGATTCTAAAGATTAGATCTGAAAGATAGTTTGTTCTCGAGGTCTGGAGGTGATGTGGATTGATTAATACATTTTTGTACAGAAACTAGCAAATCCTATTTAAAAGTAAGGGAAATTTTTAACCAATTTGAGTTCTCAAGTTTCTCAGAAACATGATCATATTTTTCCAGTCCATGAATCAAAAAAAAACTATGAAAATCAAGGAGACAATAAGGGCGTCCTACAATTGTGTGGAGACTTCAATAGGCGATCAGAAGTGAAACCTTTTTGCGGTTAAACTTATCATGAGATAGCTGATAGACATCCGTGTTTTACTTGCTAACGTTTCGGTCACCTCAAAAACATAACATTGAGAGTATATTTTAAGCAGGAAACTTTTGGATATTTATAGAGATATGAAGACAGAACAATAATTACCTGAACGGGAATCAATGGATTCAGCACGAAGGAAAATGCTGCAGCTTGACAGTCAGGCTCTTCTCTGCACCATCCCTGGCATTCATATAGGCTGAGGTTTTTCACGGTGTAATACGTATTGCCACGGTAATCGAAGTCAGTCAGTTTTTCGAATGCTATCCGGCCTGTAACAAAACAACAATACATTCTGATGAATTCAGATAGATGCAACAGAAAAATACGGTGTAAGAAGTAAAGACTCAATCAATAGCTTGAATCGCATAAATGATCTTGTGGAATTGACTTTTTTCGTTGATGTTCCTTTGTACGTGGAAAAATAATTAAATTGTTTTCTGTTCTTTGCGCTTCTGGCCAATAATTACTACTAATCATGAAGCAACAGGCTTTGCTTCTTTGCTTTTCGATGCAGTTGTTTTACAATTTTCATAGTCCGTGAGCAATGCTTCACCGGGTGTTCCTTACACCTAATGAAAATAATGTAGCTTATTGTAGTTTTTTTTATATCGAAGCAGCCGCGCAGGCGGAAGCCTAAATGCCGGGACACCGCGGCTGCTATGATGATCTCAAAGAAATTTGGTTAATACGATTTTTGAACTGCCTAAGGTTAGTAGAACCGGGAAAAGCTTCCTCCCGTAGATTGGTCCACAATCTAGACACCCTCAGGACAAAGGAGCGGTCGTATCGGTCAGTTCTCGATGTACGAAGTTCGACACGGTTAGGATGGAACGCCAAAGTCAGGCGGGTCTGTCTGGCAGGCACATCGCGCGGCGGCATCATGGAAGAGAGCTCTGTGGAGCAAAGCCCGTTGGTGTAGCAGTAGAAAAGAGCTAGATCGCCGCCAGAAAAGGGTCACGAGACTGTCTGTTAGAGAAGAGTAGTCCTACATTACAGAATATTTCAAGTTCATTGGATATATTGGATTGTACTACCCTGGTTGTAAATAACTACAATGGCAATCATTTTAATGGGTTGAAATACTAAAATATGTGCAATGCCAAAATTTAGATATAAATATATATTGCACAGCTTGGAACAAGATTGATTGCATCCTAGAGCTACTGTAACATACTTTCAACTGCCAAGGCCAAGTATAGTTCTGTAAAGGCAATTTATTTTTTCTGGTGAAATATTCTACTTGGAGTTCTGCAGAACTTTTTCATTTGGCAAAATTTTGCGTGTTGGGATATGAAAAAATCGCACAATATTATGTAACGCGTCGATATCGATAAAATATATGTACTCATTTTTAAATAGCCACAAATGTGGAAATATACTAAGTGACATATAAATCCGAACACCCAGTTTAAATGGTTTTATTTTAATAAAAGTTGGTGAATGTATTTATGTTACTGTAAATAACAAGTGAAAAAATTTTCAGCCTTATCAGTTGGACATTCCGGTTTTTATACTGCTTTTTTTTAATTCACTAACGCTCTAAAAATGAATATTTCAGCCGCAGTAAAGAATCAACGTTGGCGGATTTTGGTTCTTGACATCCTTTACGATCGGTTACGATGCCTAGAGTACGGAGACCTGTATGATTTCGTCAACTTAGTGAGTTTGTTAGAGGCCGTATAGTGTGACTTCGGGACGCTGGACTTTCTTTTCGGGCAATTGCAGTTAGAGTGCAAAGAAGTGTAGACACTGTGGTTAGGTGTTGTCAGGCATGGCTTCGAGAAGGCCGTACGCAAAGAGCAAGGGGCACCGGACGGCGCTGTAGAACAACAGACCGTGAAGATCGCCGCCTAAGATTATTGGCCTCAAGGGACCGTTTCTCCACTACCAGGTCCATTGCAAATGAATGGTTTGCAGAACACGGAAGACCTATTGGCATACGAAGTGTTTACCGACGAATGAGAAGTTTTGGCTTGTTTTCATACCGGCCACACTGGGTCCTCCCTTTAACTCGAGAACACCGACGTAATCGCCTTGAGTGGTGCAGACAACGGTCACTCTGGGATCAGGAATGGAACAGTATTGTCTTTAGAGACGAGTCTCGATTTTGTTTAGGCATGCACGATGGTCGTGCCAGGGTTAGAAGGCGACGTGGCGAAAGGAGGAATTCACAGTTTTTTGTTGAAAGACATGTTCATCACACTGTTGGAGTTATGGTTTGGGGTGCTATAGCTTATGGTTCCAGGTCACCTTTAATCTTCATCAGAGGTAACATGAACGCGCAGCGTTATATCCACGAAGTTCTAGAACCCCATCTTTTACCCTATCTTGACACTCTGGCAGATCCAACTTTCCAACAAGATAATGCCCGACCACATGTTGCAAGAGTCACAATAGACTTCTTTCAACATAATGATGTCACATTGTTACCATGGCCACCAAGATCTCCCGACTTATCCCCAATTGAACACGTGTCGGATATGATGGGTAGGAGATTGCTCAATTTGCAACGTCCTCCTCAGACTCTAGAAGCACTTCGAGAGGAGTTGGTGGTTGCCTGGAATGAGATACCACAGGAGGACATTGACCACCTGATCAGAAGCATCCCTAGGCGCGTTGGAGAATGCATAGCACATCAGGGTGCATCCACACATTATTAAAGGTCAAAGGGCTTTAAAGCAGTGCAATCATTTTGAAATTTTTATCATTTACTTATTATGCTTCATTAAGTACTTATACAAAATTTTATTAAAATAAAACCATTTCAACTGGGTGTTCGGATTTATATGTCACTTAGTATATGTAGTGAAATGTTTGAATTTGTACTTATTACAAATACCTCAAAGGAACATGCAATGGCTGTATACTTTTCCTCACCAAGTAACTAAGAATAATCACAGTTTCTAATGGTGATAACTTATCAGATCATTCTGTTTCGGTCCGGACATTATATTATATTGCACTATATTTTCTCGTTATTGTATGGTTTCCAAATATTTCCTCACGAATTCATGTGGTTTGGTTTCCAACATTCTGTAAGATCCATTTTTTGCATCCAAATTAATTTCTGCTAATTGATGTGTAGAAATTAGATCAAATCCTTCACGAAATGTTATTCTGGCCATTGATCCGTGAAAGTGTGTCTTTCATTGCATATCCGTCAAATTTCTCATGACGCGTGGGTAGAGTCAATATTGTCCGCAAGATAATTTTATGATGGCTTTTGAATATGGTTTCAGGATTTTTTTAAAATACTAAAATTTGAAAGATGAAAACGGACAAGTATACAAGACTGACTCTGTATATCTGAATATACTCGTAAGTAACCTCTATAAACTCAAATCTAAGTATAATCAATAATAATTCCAACAATGACGAAGGAGGCTTATCGAAATTCAAACTGTATCCTATGACTAGCTGAGATTTCCCTGGTTCCGTTCTGAAACCAGCACCTGGAACATTATTTTTGTCCATGAAATTCGAATACTTCGTTTATTTATGTGCATATTTATACTCATGTCTATCTTGAGCTATTTTTACTTGGGGTGAAGTGTCTGTTTCCTTCTACTCCTCCTCACTTTCTAGTCATTACAGAGACAACAAATTTCTTCTCCTGACCACGTAAAATTAAGAATACCATGTGCAAAATCCTAAAAATTTGTGTGTGTCTAATGGGGCAAAAATGATTGGAGGCCATTACCATTAGGCTTAGCTTACCCTGTTTGGATCTCCACTTGAATCTTACGACTTACTTCAGCCTTACTCTTAGACCCGTATCGTCAGTTGTCCCTACAATTGTAGGGCGCTTTTATGGCCTCCTTGATTGTCATAGTTTTCTACTTCTCCGTGTCAGCGCTCTATTTTGAGGTTATGTCACAAACATTTATTTGCATCAAATTGTCCTTGCTTTTGAGTTATATCATGTTTTATCAGCCTGAAATTTCCTACAATTTAAAAAGAAAACATATCTTCACAATAGGAGAGCGCTGACGCTGACACGGGACAAGTGTAATCTAGAAATTTTTGAAGGAGAGAAATGAGGATGACAATCAAGGAGGCCATAAACGCGCCCTACAATTGTAGGAACGACTGACGATACGGGCCTTAGGCCTTGACTTATTTTGGGACCTATTCAAGGCTTACTTGAGGCCTCGTCTACACTTAAGGCTTCCCTTAGGTTGTTTATGCTTTGATTATCTTTAGAACTTGCCGTTGCTTTACCTAGGCCCTAAGTCAAAGCTAGGCTACTCCATCCTCAGCCTTACCTCAAATTATTAACAAGAAGGTATACATCAACGCCTGATCTACAACCTATAGTTTCCATAGACACTGGAAAGATGAGTCATACTTTCTTTACTTGCGTTGTTCGATTTTTTAATGTGACTAGTTGTAGTTTTTTTATCCATGCCAAAGAAATGCTTTTAATTGATAATGTTTATTATTGCTCTTTATTCGGGTCTAAAGGCCGCCGTCGGTTGGAATTTCTTCCTAACGTTTCGCTAGCACGAGTGACAAGCTTCTTCAGAGGTCCTCCCATTACTGAAGCCTAATGTAGACTGATGATAATAATAATAATAATTAACGTCTTTTTATTTGTAATATTGTTACAGGAGGCGAGATTTAGATTATATATCTATTCTACCATCTAACCCCCCTTTACGAGATGTAAAAAAAAAAGATACAATAACGACAGAATAAAGTATAATCCAAGTAAATACATAAGCAAAATATGAGGACACTTATGGGTTACAACCGATTTAGCTGCTGATCAAGTAGAACTTCTTTCACTTTTTTCTTGAATTTGGATAATGGATTGGTTTCTTTTAAACTGCGGTCTAAAGAATTATATGATTTGATCGCATTGTAAATGTATGTATTCTGAAAAATGGAAAACTCTTGAGATCTTCTTCAAACGCTATTTCATTTAAACTATGGAAATCCCTGAATGTCACAAATTTCTGTTGATTTTTAGGAAGTGCAATACGTATATGACAGAAGGTTAAATAGTGATCAGTAATCATATCAGCATTAATAGTGCCACTCCTAAGACAACTTTCAGGCTTGCTCAAATAAATAGGATCTAAGAGAGTGAGTGTCGATTCAGTTATCCTAGTCGGTTCAGATATCACCTGTTTCAGATTATAAGAATCATGGCATTTAGTCAAGTTGTTACAAACTAAAAGCAAATTAACATTGATATCCCCTGCAAGGATGATATCATCATATTCAGCTAATATGGCAGGCAACAGACTTGGGCCTTGCCCAAATGAAAGTATGGAAGAGTTGTAGTGGTTATTTACAAAGACTGCACCTCGCCCATCTCTATCACAGCGGTAGCAGTTGTATCCATTCATTCTTATATGGTCATTAGATATATCTTTTGATAGCCACGTTTCCGATATTCCAACAATATCAAGGTTGCTGTTTTGAACCAGTGTACTAAATTAATGAAATCCTGATAAAACTGATCTGCAGTTTATATGAGCAAACTTTAAAACCTTGAATTTATCACTATTCATATTCAATTCTAGATTTCAAGTATGTAACATGTTTTTTATAAGTTGGACAATCTAAGTTTTTAGAAGAATGAATAGTATCAAATTGAGTGTTGAAATTAGAATTGTGATTCATACAGTTTGAACAATTCTTAAAAGCAGATTTACAATATTTTTCCAAATGATCTCCAGCACATAAAGGACATGATACTTTAGAATGTATATATTACAAATTAGAAAATGACATATATACTAAGTGACATATAAATCCGAATACCCAGTTTAAATGGTTTTATTTTAATAAAATTTTGTATAAGTACTTAATGAAGCATAATAAGTAAATGATAAAAATTTCAAAATGATTGCACTGCTTTAAAGCCCTTTGACCTTTAATAATGTGTGGATGCACCCTGATGTGCTACGCATTCTCCAACGCGCCTAGGCATGCTTCTGATCAGGTGGTCAATGTCCTCCTGTGGTATCTCATTCCAGGCAACCACCAACTCCTCTCGAAGTGCTTCTAGAGTCTGAGGAGGACGTTGCAAATTGAGCAATCTCCTACCCATAATATCCCACACGTGCTCAATTGGGGATAAGTCGGGAGATCTTGGTGGCCATGGTAACAATGTGACATCATTATGTTTGAAAGAAGTCTATTGTGACTCTTGCAACATGTGGTCGGGCATTATCTTGTTGGAAAGTTGGATCTGCCAGGGTGTCAAGATAGGGTAAAAGATGGGGTTCTAGAACTTCGTGGATATAACGCTGCGTGCTCATGTTACCTCTGATGAAGATTAAAGGTGACCTGGAACCATAAGCTATAGCACCCCAAACCATAACTCCAACAGTGTGATGAACATGTCTTTCAACAAAAAACTGTGGATTCCTCCTTTCACCACGTCGCCTTCTAACCCTGGCACGACCATCGCGCATGCCTAAACAAAATCGAGACTCATCACTAAAGACAATACTGTTCCATTCCTGATCCCAGAGTTACCGTTGTCTGCACCACTCAAGGCGATTACGTCGGTGTTCTCGAGTTAAAGGGAGGACTCAGTGTGGCCGGTATGAAAACAAGCCAAAACTTCTCATTCGTCGGTAAACACTTCGCATGCCAATAGGTCTTGTTCGTGTTCTGCAAACCATTCATTTGCAATGGACCTGGTAGTGGAGAAACGGTCCCTTAAGGCCAATAATCTTAGGCGGCGATCTTCACGGTCTGTTGTTCTACGGCGGCGTCCAGTGCCCCTTGCTCTTTGCGTACGGCCTTCTCGAAGCCATGCCTGACAACACCTAAAAACAGTGTCTACACTTCTTTGCACTCTAACTGCAATTGCCCGAAAAGAAAGTCCAGCTTCCCGAAGTCCCACTATACGGCCCCTATCAAACTCACTAAGTTGACGAAATCGTACAGGTCTCCGTACTCTAGGCATCGTAACCGATCGTAAAGGATGTCAAGAACCAAAATCCGCCAACGTTGATTCTTTACTGCGGCTGAAATAAACATTTTTAGAGCGTTAGTGAATTAAAAAAAAGCAGTATAAAAACCGGAATGTCCAACTGATAAGGCTGAAAATTTTTACACTTGTTATTTACAGTAAGATAAATACATTCACCAACTTTTATTAAAATAAAACCATTTAAACTGGGTGTTCGGATTTATATGTCACTTAGTATACATCAGGAAAAAATTTCCAAAAGTCGGATTTTGATGAAATTTTGACATAAGGTTACTACTATACCTAGGACGGAAAAAGTAAAAGTAGTTTTTGAAAATCGATCCAGTATCGACCAAGCTACGGGCAAAAAACGAAATAAATAAAGGAAAATTGCTTCGCTTTTTGACGTTCCAGAGGCTCTTGAGCATTTTGAGAATGTTTGTAGGGGTTAAACATTGGCGGCTAGAGGTTGTATTCATGCTCGGATTTGAATGAATTCCGGTAATGCAATACGACCATTGAAAGCTTCAGGTCAACGTTCAAAAGAAATTAGACAGTCTTTTTTTTGGGCTGAGTGTCTTATTTATATAGACCTTGTAATAAAAAAAGTAACTTCTTTACTACGACTACGTGTTGCTTTCACGAGCCTTGTGATGCGGTTCTTTTCGAAAATCGTGATAGCTAAACTGACACTGAAAAAAGCCCGAACATAGTAAATTAGCTCACGAATGAGCGCCAAGACACATGCAAAACATATAAGAACAAATGTTCGGACACGATCTCGACCGCACGATTTCAGATTTGCATCGCATCAGCCTCAGTTGCATCCAATTAATTTTTATTTCAGATCTATCTCGGTGATACAGTTCGATACAAATTTCAATCAAGAACGTACGTCAGCGATCGGTCGCCGATTATTGCTATAATTACTGTTTTTCTACTGGTCAATTGCAGCCAATTGAATTAGGATCGATCGATCGTGTTGATTCAATGAATCGAAAAGCTACAGTTAGGATGGCAAGCACAAAGCAAGAGAAATAAAAACTAAATTAGTTCAGAATTGGCGGCTCCAGGTGGTCTGCGAAAAATGAACGTAACATTCTATGACGTACAGTATTTTGAGTTTTTCAAACGACCATGCACACTTGTTTGCTTTCCATTCATCTGTCTCCAGGACTAATAAACCTATACCGCACTGATGAGCTGCTAATGAGTACAAAACAGCGCTGCAGTAAGTGACTGGAAAGCCGGTAATTACAGTAGACAGAAAAAATCAGGTGGATTCAGTCGGCATAGTGATTTGCAACTTAAATATATCCGTTATTCGTAAGAATAATTTAATGTTTGGAATTACTATAAACATCAGACTTACCTAGGGCTTCGTGTAAATAAAACAAGACTAGAAACAGGCCTATCACAGATCTTCTACAGTTCTCCATCTGAAACGAAAGGAAGAAAATATAAATCGTCGCGTAATTGCTTGTATTACATCAGCAGTAATACGCAGTAAATCATGTCATTAATACGATCTAAGAACAAATTAAGGCCTAACAAAAATTAAGAATCAACTTCAATACCTAAGCACTGTGTAGCGTGAAAATATGAAAAAAAAACTGTTTAAAAGGTACCGTTGCAGTTCTTTATCTTCCGTAGTTTAATTGGTGATGATCGGTGGAGTAAAAAATAGATGAAAAACGCAACAGCTGAAGGATTTCCAAGAAAAAGCTGTGGAAGGATGTGCTTTCTTGATGTTCAGTGCCGTAACGCATACCAAAGTATACAGATTGAAAACCAGCAGGATCACTAGGGGAAAAGTCTTGACTTTTTTTCAGCGAAAGGCAGCCTCATCCAAACGGTGCACTTTTTTGCCTTTAAATACATATAAGATACTTGTGGTGTGGTCAGAGTTAGCTCGCCAGCGAAGATTGGCTGCCTTGCTGGCAAAAGGATGGGTTATTGAGAGTATTTTCGATAACGTTCAATGTAGATTCAATACGTAAAAATATGGAAAACGTTTACAAGGACAAGGCGAAGAGTTCCCGGTCTGACACGGACATGGTGATCCAATCAGTAAAAATATACAATTCTTACAAGGGTGCATATGTTCGTATGACAAATGTTAACTTGTTGTTAGAAGTTTATCTAAATGTCTATACGAATTTTTGAATCTTAGAGATTTGCCGCATAATAATGTCTTTGCAGTACACCGCATTGCTTCAAAAATGTTTTACTTTCAATGCTGTGAGCTTGTACAACTCAACCGACCCTGCCTGGAGTTTTTCAAACGTCTCTCATGAAGTCCTGAACCGCTTTCAGATCAATTTCTCTCAGTTCTTCGTAAATTCGCCGTCTTAATTGTTCATCATCTTGGGCTTCCCAGCCTCCATGATAAACCTTCTCTGCTCGTACTATGCTATTGTTCGATAAATGGTTCTGCGGAAATAAGTTTTCATTCTGGACCAACCAACTTGTAGATACTTTTTCTTATTTCTAATTTATACGCTTTAAAACTTGAAAATAAATACATGTCAACTGACAGTAAAACAAGTAAACAAACTTTTGTTTCCAAAGGCAACTTGACGTTATTTTGTGTTTGTTAAAATTAAAGCCAATGCATTTTGTGCCAAAACTTCCAGGACTACGTGGCTACCCCTGTTGTTGATATTACTGTCGGATGTACTTTCACACTTTCTACTCAGGACACTTGTTTTATTTCTCGGGCTAAGCTTTTGTATTTTTGTATTTTTACATTGTATGTCGTCTGTATGTTGTGACTATTAACTATCGCATGATCAGTGAGACGAACTGTTTCCTCTTTCTTTTGCCATAATGTTATGTCAGTCCTTATCCTTTACTGGTTACACTGGACAACAAATTTTAGTTTTTTAATTGTATCTTGTGGGAAAAGTGCACTTCTTTGTTAATTTTGGGGCGCTGAATCCAAAAATGACAATGAAATAAAAAAATTAGTTGCGGTTTAGAAAAAAACTTTTTATTTTTAAGGATATATTAAAAAAAGTAACAAGATTCATATACTTATAAGAATTACTATATGCGCTGTCTTTTTGCTGTTCTTTTATGGATCGTTTCTGGAGCATCTCTACCAAGAGTCCAAAAGTAGTCTGCAAGCATGGAAGGATTCCACTTTCCCTGGTACCTTTTTTCCATTGTTGAAATATCCTGATGAAAACGTTCGCCATGCTCATCACTTACGGCTCCGCAATTGTCAGGAAAAAAGTCCAGGTGTGAGTGTAGTAAATGTATCTTAAGAGACATATTACAGTCCATCTTTTGATACGATGACAGCATATTTTTGACAAGGGTTTTATAGTTGTCAGCTTTTCTATTTCCCAAGAAATTAGTGACCACCAGACGGAAATCATTCCAAGCAGTTTTTTCAATACCTGTTAAAGCGTTTTCAAACTGTGTATCTTTCAAAATATTTCGAATATGTGGCCCAACAAAAATACCTTCTTTAACCTTTGCCTCACTTAGTCTTGGAGATTTCCGACGCAGGTATTGAAAAGCTGACCCATCTCTATCTAATGCCTTGACAAAGTTTTTCATTAGGCCCAACTTGATATGCAGTGGTGGTAATAAATTTTTTTTCGAATCTACTAATCGCATATGCTGTACATTTTTTTGACCTGGCTCTAGGAATTGACGAACAGGCCAGTTTTGTCTGGTGTAATGAAGTGCCTTTGCCCGACTGTCCCATTCACACAAAAAACAGCAAAACTTTGTGTAGCCTAGATGCAGCCCAAGTAAAAGTGCAACAACTTTCAAATCGCCACAAATATGCCATTGGTGCTCATCGTATTTTATGCATGTCAATAGGTACTTCATATTGTCATATGATTCTTTCATGTGAACTGCATACCCTACAGGAAGAGATGGTAAAATATTTCCAATATGCAATAACACTGCCTTTAAACTCAATGTTGAACTGTCTATAAACAATCTCCATTCTTCTGGGTTATAGTTTATATTTAAAGCCGCCAGTAAGCCGTTAATGTTACTGCAGAAAACCAAGTTATTCTCCATATTGAAAAATGGTTCTAAGTTTTTGTGGCGTTTACGAAAAACACATATCGAAACATCGTCTTCTAACAAGTTCCACTGCTGCAGTCTTGATCCAAGTAACTCTGCCTTACATTTTGGAAGTTCTAAATCTCTTACAAGATCATTTAATTCTGACTGTGTTATTTTGTGCGGTTGGTGGCATGACGTGCTCGGTATAAAATCAGGATCTCTTGACGTTGATGGCATATCTTCTTCCTGACGAATCACTCGATCGCCATGATCTGATTCGTTTTCTGATTCGCAAGTGTAGGATTCTGGGGGTTTTGGAATAGAATTTTCATCACTGTGAGGCACAGGTCTCATCGCAGATGGTATGTTTGGGTAGTTAATAACCGATTTTTTTTTTCTTGGACATACCTGTGGCTTGTCCAACACAAGTTACCATGCAAAAGTAACAATCATTAATATGATTTGTAGGCTCTCTCCAAACCATTGGGACAGTAAAGCGCATAGACCGTTTTTTGCCATTTAACCAGCTCCTCAGACTTGAAGCACATGTATTACAGCAGATGTGGGGTGCCCACTGTTTGTCTTGATCACCTAGTTTACAACCGAAATAAAGCTGATATGCCTTTGTTATTAGTGGAGTAATAGACCGTCTCTGAGACGCAAAAGTCACATCACCACACACGTAACAAAGCTGATCTGGATTGTTTACACACTTTCGAGACATCTTTCATGAACGCTGTCAGCCAACAGAGGAAAAAATGGCTAATATAAAACAATATAATGTACACGTATGTATAACGTAACATAATCATGCCGGTTACATCATCTTTCCTTGCCGAATATAAAAATGTAGCACGTGCATTCTTGTGAATTACAGTATATTAACACTGTCACAGCAGGAACACATATAATTACCGTATCTCTAAAACTTGAACTAATATTGAAAAAATAAGTTTCATTCCGGTTTTAGCACATTAAAAATAGTAATATTTTGTTGATTTTATTTAGGATATTTTTTGGCTGTTGATCAGTGTTGTGGATGGTACTTGCAGTACTGCGTATTTGGTGGTGTGTCGAACATATTTTCTTCAATGGCCTGGTGTAATATTTTGTCATGTTGTCATGCAGCATATAAAAAACATGACTAAAGGATCAACTCTCCGTCATTCTACTACCTTCACAACCCGCATTTTTGCTATGACTTCGGCCGAAGATTGAATTGAAACGCGAACATCGCCTACGGCGAAAATATTGATCTTCCGTTGGACCCTACTATTCGTCTATGCAAAAAGTGAGAAATCAGATAGAGTCTCTGACCGTATCCGTAACCTAGCGTATGCGTGTTTTCGCATCCATATTCTCGAGAACGCTGAAATGCATAATTATTTCCACATGTAATGAGCCATTATTGCAACTTTACAACGAATCACATTGGATCAATCTCTATGCTGCATCTCCCCTATCATTTTGATTAATTGCTGAAAACACTATTCATGACGAGTGTAACGCCCTACAATACAGTGTCGGGGTAATGGGGGTTTCATTTATGAGAACGGGGCTCCTACAATCACGAGCACCATCTGCTGAGGTAACGGGGGGGTGAAAAGGAACCGAGGGTGGGTTGGGCCTAGACGGTCGTCGGCGCTATTTTAAAAGAGGAAAGGATGACTGCGGGTGCATACCAAGGCAAATTTTTATTATAACAGAGTCGGATTTCGATAAGCGATCTAGAAGTAAATCGTTTCTTATTTTGGTACTCAGCAAGGGATCATTTAGTATTTTTCTCCCCTTGTTACTGTTCGTCGATATTGTGTTGTTGAATTGTTGTTGGTGTGATTGTTCTTGAGCGCCTTTATTATCAAGGCTGATAAAGGACAATAAAGGGTCATATGTGACCGTTTTAATTACGAATGCAGTGAGTTTAATTCATGATGAGGTCAACAATAGTGTGGAGCAAAATACATTGGGGTAAGCGAATAAATTATTGCAAGAAAAGGTCATACCATGGAAGATGTGCTGCAGCTGTAGTGAGCCACAATACCCAGCGGCCAGTATATGTGGTCTAAATACATTTGCATTCTAAGCTTAGTCCAACCTCGCTTATCGCTAAGATGGAACAAAGACTCAAACGCAAGAATCTTGAAAAGAAACTCAGACTAAAAAAAGCTGATATAACAATAACTAACAATTCGGATAGCAATTTCAAAGAAAATGAATAGTTTTATGGAGAATTCAATCAAAAACCTGACATTAACTACATTGATTTGGAGGTTGCTAAGCGAAAATTTTTAGGGAAACTTGAAAAAAGTGACGACGAGATTTTGCAGATCGAACAAGTCACCAAATCACAGGACTGTACTTTGTCGCGCCTTCATCGGAGGATAAGGTTGACAGCGTCTCGATTTGGT